TTACTTACAGATATTTTCCAAGTTGGACAATAACAGAATCTCCTATACCATTTTACTGTATGTATAATTCACCAAGATTTTGTTTTCTAAATGCCAGGGTTGTTGGACTTAGGTATATGTTAATGTCCCTGATACTGTCATGCCAGCATACATCTAAGATCACATCTACAAACAGCTTCCATGAACTAATTTAATTAATTTAATCAGCATTTCAATAATTCAATGGCCATAAATAAACTAGGTCCAAGTTTTTTTCATTGTGTAAATATTCACTAAACATGTCTGATAACTGCAATAAGTTTTTTCTTAAGGATACAAATTAATATGTATATGTTAATATGGTCTATGAAGAGCTTATTTCAAGCAGGTAAATAGACATTTAGTCATATTATCTGTATGACCATATTTGCCTATATTAGACATTTCTATAAGAACACAATAAGTGCTAAAATATATGCAGAATTGAAAGGCTCTGAATTCTAGTATGAATGGTATCAGTAGGAGAAAACATTATTAAATGTCAAAGTGGGCTTAGAAATGCCTTTTTGTGCAGGCCACAAAAAATACTAAGTTAGGATTCTTTGACTTAATGGTCTGATTTAAGAAGAGTAAAAGGTCATTAAACTGCTAACATAAACCAGAGATTTTTAAAAAATGGATAATTTGATACCAGATTGAATAAGCTGATCAAAGTGGAAAATCTGTTTATAAAAAGAGATTTATTCCTAAGGAAAATTATTCTAGGTAAAGAGGAAAGAAAGAAGAAAAAGATTTGCTATATATGTGCTTAAAATTACTAACAAATAAAATTCTAAAAAAAATTAAAGGACTAGGAGGTTAGTCTGCTGAGTTAAGGGTCTATAACCACATGAAAAAAACCTGGTAGTAGTTTAGGTGGAATTATATTGGCTTCATTAATTTTAAAACACTATATTACTGTTTCAAAAAAAATTACCTGCATCACATATAGCACATACTCTAATATTTCCTCCAATGATAAAACAGCCTATACTGAGATTGCATAAGGTTATTATGCAATACAACAGTGATTAAAGTACAGACTCTGCAACTAGTACTTCGGACAAGTTTCTTGATTTCCTTGTGCTTCAGTTTCTTCATCTGTGAAATAGAGATAAATATTTCTGGTCCCCTATGACTTGTGAAGCTTAAATAGACAATGTGTTTTTTAAAAAATCAGGACTGTGCCATCAGAAGAAGGACTTCACCATTGTTTGCTGCTTCTGTTGCTTGCAGCAAACTATCAGCAGAATAAAAAAAGAGAAAACTACAGTCTCAAAGTCACTGCATAAAAGAAAAACCTTTAGAGGAGGCATGTCCTGTCTCTACTGAGGAAGGGTTACTTTTCATTTCCCTGAAATCTTAAATTACTATAGGAAAAATGGAGGCAGAATAACAACAATAAGTTCTGTATTAGAACTGAACAAAGGCCATCACTGCTGGCTGTACTTCCCTGTCTGATGGGAAATAGAGAAGAGGGAGGAGGGCAACTAGCTTGGAGATCTACCAGGATGATCTAAATTTCGGCACTTCACTCTGGAGAGTTACAAGTTACTAAGGTTATCTTGCGGGAAATGGCCATTAAAAGATGCCACAAGCAGTCCACCAATACCACCAGAAGCAATTCTACTAACACACAGGAAGCATGATAGGAAACACTAGCAACCCCTCTCATGGTGATTTTTAAATTTGTGGGGCACTCCATATGAAGCTAAGTTACTCTTCAGTGTTCTAAAATTTGTTGTGGCTGCGCATGATAGCTCACACCTGTAATCCCAGTGACTCAGGAGGCTGAGGTAGGAGGATAACAAGTTAAAAGCCAACCTCAGCAACTTAGTAAGGCCCTACATGATTTAGAGAGACCCTGTCCCAAAAAATTTAAAAAAAAAAAAAAAAGGGGCTGGGATGTGGCTCGGTAGTAAAGCACCCAGATCCAATCCCTGGTACTAATTAATTAATTAATTTTTAAAATGTGTTGTGCTCAGAACAATCAATGTAATGCCTCTGAAGCAAATCCAAATAGCAACAGACCATGTCAAGAACACTATTTTACCACAGTTGGCTATGTCAAGTTATGTTTGAACAACTCATACTGTTTCAAACTACTAACTAAAACTTAATAATAACTATCTCTAAAGATACTTATAACCTAAGTTACTCAGGAAAAATGAGAGAAATTAAAACTTCCCTATTTAAATAATGAATAAGAGAGCATACCAAATACCTTAACACAAAGAGTAAAGAGCATTTCAATCTTTCGATAATCAAGTCTACCCTGAACCTATTTTCTATTTGATCAAGTAGTCATCAAAAAAAAGCAATGTTCTGAGAAACCTTTTACCAAGAATATTTTAATTGGTTTCCCAACACCTTCTCCTTGCCAACTATTCAGTAAATAAATCATGGTTGTCTTGCCACAGCCCTCCACCTGCTCTGCCAATGGTACACTGGAAATGGTGATGCCCAAGATAACTCAGGCCACTGAGATCCAACAAGAGGTTTTCTGGGGTATTTTAGGAAAGAAACTTTTGAATCTAAAGAGAGAGCCATAAAAAGCCATATATAAAAGCCATAAAAATCCCTACAGACATAAACAGGAGAGGAGACTTCCAACATCTACTGATGGTCATCTTATAGTCACAAGAATCTAAGCCTTCTGTGGGTGGAAGAGCTGGGAAGTGGAAAGAACCTGGATCACTCACGACCTATTGGGTTTCCTCTTGGGTTTCCTCTTTATATGAACTCTGAAGTTTCTTTAGTATTCAAACCAGTTTTATATTGGTAGCCCAAAGCATCCAAATTTACACATTTTGTTTTCCACTTCAACTACCATGTAAAAATTTCACCCATGCTTGTCTACATGTTAGGAAAAAAAAAAAAAAAAAGTACTCCACTTCAAATAAGTTAGTATACATTTCAGAGTCATATTAAAAAGAGCTTATGGACAGTGAAATAGTCCAATAATTTAAAAAATAATTTCAATACATTTTCCCTTCTCATTTATCAATAAAGGAAAAATTTGAAAAATTATTATAAAACATCAAACTTTCAATTTGACATAAAATTTATCTTTTAGAGCCCTCTTAGTTAGAGATATCATTACATTTTAGGGCACAAAAGTGATAACTTTTTAGACCCTAAGATATTCATTTTGTTCATACTATTTAGATCAAAATCAAAAAAGAAAGACTAATGCTCTTTACAATTAGTTTAGCTTTTTAAAAAAAAATCTTCAGAATTTTTTGCTCCAAACAGCCATATAAAATGCATTAACTATAACCTACAGAAAAACCAAATTGTTTACTTTATCCATTATAATATTTCAATTTCACCAAATTGGGTAGACTATTCAAATACAAATGAAGGTATTTTTAAGAAGCAGTGATTTAGATAATAACAACAGCAAAAAAAAAAAAAAAAAAAAGAAGAAGAAGAAGAAGGCAATTTAAAAAGGTTGGAAGTACAAGATACATATTGGAATAACTAGCTCATGCTAAGTGACAAAGGGCAAAGTGAAGAAGGAGGGAGCAAATCACTCAAAATCTTTATAGCAGGTCACAATCTCTGTGACACATGAATAGATCAGTTGTTATATAAGGCAGATTCATCCTTTCATCAAGACCACTTTATAAGTTTTAAATCATGCATTCAAAACACAGACATTCCATGTTTTCCAAATGAATTTAGGCTATTTTACAAACACTTCAGGTAAGCATTACTTCATACACTGGGGTAATAGTATGGTAGGTATTTGCAAGATTAACTAATACCATAAATACAGTATAAATTTAAATCAGAGCTTAAAAAATTATTTATCTATTCCACATAACATGTCTATTCTGTAAAGAGGATTTGGTTGGGCCTGAAAGAATACAAACGGACAAACTACAATATATAGGATAAAAAAAGATTACCTTTTTAATCCAAAAAAGGCTCTCTGCAACCTTAGAATCACTCCTTACCAGTAGACACACCTGATCACAGCTATAATTCAAACAGGCCAGAAGATCAGCAGGCAGAGCTGGTAGAGCCAGGAATGTGGTGACTTACTACCTAAAATTAGCCATGCCCATTTCACCACAATTGGGTTGGGCTCCTCTATTTTAAGGTGTGCAGTTCCAAATTACTTAAAAGTATGTAATTGCTGGCTAGTCTCTAGAACTAAGAATGTCAGCAGACTTTACACCAAGGCTTTAGATGGCCAACTAGTCTCCACAAAACCCCACAGAATGCTAGCTATCTAGGGTCTAAGAACACAGCAAATAAAGTTAAATGTTGAATATATCCATGAAGATGTACCATGTATGGACTAGAAAGAACTAAATGAGAAAAGATACTTCTTATCCTTTTCTGCTTCTCCTTCCCCCACAAACACATACATTATAACAAAAGTTGTAGAAAAACTGACAAAAGTCATAGTACTAAAATATCCTGTCTTTTCAGGAAACTGTACAGACTGTTAGCTGAAACCCTTCCAAATAATGTTACATTGTTGTTACCTCCCTCTGAAAACGTTATGTTACTGGAGTAAATCAATAGTAGGGGCTACTCAGTCTGTATTTCACATTCTAGAAACATTACCAGGAAACTGGTGAAGGTCCCATAAGTATTAGCAAGAGAATATGCACTAAACATTTTAAAAATGGAGCTAAATTTTCAAACAAATGAAAGAAAATGAAAAGACATACTCTTTCACCATTATGAAAAATGATTTTTATCAACAAATGATAAAAATACATTGTAAGTTATACAGGCTTAACAACATGCTTGAAATTCAAGCTGTACGATAAAACTCCTGATTTCTCCAAACCCACCATAAAGACCTAGTATCTATTTTATTACTAGCAACTTGAGACATTTGATGCAGAATCCACGTGTAGTATTATTTACTTTCCTGATACTATCATGCTCCAGCAGTCCATGATGTTAACCCTTGTTTTGACAAATGCAATCAAATATTTTAAGAATTAGAACACACATACCTTCATTTTCTGAGGCATGGCATTTCACCTTCAATACCAAGTCAAAGGTTCTTTCTGGATTTTCCCTAAAAGAAAAAGAACTTTGTTATATTTATTTCCTAATACAAACAAACATCTGTATAAAGCTGTGTGTGTGTGTGTGTGTGTGTGTGTGTGTGTGTGTGTTGCTTTTTATCTTTTTAGGGGATAGGGATGAAGTGCTGTGGCTCAAATCCAGGGCCTTATGCATGCTATGCAAGCACTTACCACTGAGCTATACCCACATCCCCTATATTTTCTTAATTCTAAAACTAATCTTGTTCTTGTCTCAATATACTTTTTGTAAGTACATAACTATAACTAGCACAGCAAAAATAACACTATCAGTTAGCAACTTAAGAGAGACTTGAGGCAAAGAGTTTAACCTCAAAGACTGTTTTCTTACCTATAGTCTTGTCCACATCACAGAATTGTGAGAACTATAAATCAGATAATATATGTGCAAGTACCTTATAAAGGTATACTGCTGTATAAATGCAAAGCATTGCTTTAATCCTACTGAATCAAAATTGGAAAGCCACTGCATTCCTAAGTGCCTTTAAACCCTGCCACACCTTAACATAGGTTATCAGGCCTTTTTCAAAGGACTTGCAATGACTACCTGGTTCCACTTGCCATTGTCATGTAATATTTATAATGCTATATAAATGTGGTACTTTGCATATGCTCTTCTTGAGATGTACTTACTGTACTTAAACATGTTTATGGTAGCAAACTATTCACACACTCCAAGGCTAACAAAAAAGATCTGCTTTATATGTATTATCTTTGGGGAAAATGAATATCTACCTCCACATTAGATTTTTCCCTACAGGAACAGTAAGGTTGCTTTGATTCATTCAGAATTTACTGACATTTTTACTAACTTCTCACACATTTAGCCTATTGGTTAAATTTCAAAAACAGTGAAGTGAAATTTATTAAGCCACTTTTCTCTCCCAAAACACTGGTTTTAATCTCTCTTTCCATCACAATCACAAGATTGTGACACCACAATGCCAAAATGCTAATACCCATAATTCAGGTACCCCTGCCAAGACCTTAGTGTCTTTGTACATTTGCAATTTTTAATATGTATTTCCTTCAAGAAATTAATGCCAGCTCTCACTTTTAAATAAATGTTCATTTAAAAAATCTTTACATGTATCTAGATTCATGGGAAGTGACAAACTCTATAAATCAATTTGCAAATATACATTTTCTTGGCTTTCCCACTATTAGCTTGTTTCAATGAAAATAATGCACACTCAGGTAATTTCCTTCTTATAATAGGTCAAAAAGTATCCTCCTTTTTTTACTCACCCTACTCACTTTGGTGTCAAACACTGAAGAAAATAATTTTAAATTACATAGTTTCCCTATTTTTCTAGTATTATTTAGAATCTCTCTTAGGTATAAAAGTTAAATATTGATTCAGTTACACTCTGTGACATTTAAAAGGCCTTCTACAATTATACAAATATATGTGATATTTATTATTGTAATTTGAGGGAAGAGTTTGAAGGGAGGGAAGTAAAAGGCGGAATGCTTTCCAAAGTTAGTTTCAGGAGAAAAATAAAGAACTCATGCCTCTAAGATACCTAAAAGAAAAATCACCATCGTTATTCAAATTGCTTTTTACTTAATCTGCTGAAGTAAGACAGCCACTGATGAATACTTTGACACAGGCATACCCTTTGCCAGCACCACACACCACACAATGCCTCCAATAAACAAGCCTCAGGGACCCGTTTAATTTTCTAAGAAACAGCAAAAGGAAACATCCAAGTCAGAACTGAAAAAAAAAAAAAAAAAAACAGCTTACAAAAACGGTTATCTTAATGCTAGGAGAGCACTTTAAATAATAACCGCTTAACCTCAACGCTGCTCCCTCCCGGCCACCTCGCACCACCCAGACGCGTCGAGTCTGACACCCGGGGGAGGAGGAGAAGCCCACGACGGGGGGTGTCGGCGCGGCCGGGCCGTCTGGCCACCCCGGGGTGCGGGCGTCGGCGCGGCCCCGGCGGCCGGGGGCAGCCGCGGACCCCGCCCGACGCGACGCGGGCCGGCAGGCTTTGCGGCCTAGAGCCGTCCCGCCCGCGGCGGGGTCTCGGGGCCCGGCCGCGCCCCCGCCTGCGCCGCCCCCTCCGACCCCGCGGGAGCCGGCCGGGCGGGGCTGAGGCAGCCGCGCGGGCCAGGATTCGAGCCGGGAGGGGCCGCCGAGGGACGCCCACCCCGCGCGCCCCGGGTCCCCACTCACTTGGTCCTGCACTCCATGGTTACATGTCGCTGCGGGGCTGTCCGTCCCGACCCGCGGCCGGCCTGGAAGCCAGCTGCCCTCCACTCGAGGGTCGCGCCGCTCCCGCCTCCGCCGGCCGCCCCACCGCCAAGGAGGCTACTCACAGCGGCGGTGGCGGCGGGCCCATGTCGCGGCGCCCCGGAGCTACCCCGCCTCCCACCCCACCCCTAGAGCCTTTCTGTGACAGCAGCAGCGGCGTGGCCGCCGCCCCCGTCTCCGCAGGCCGCCGCCCCCGCCGCCACCAAAGCAGGGGCCTCTTAGTTCCTGCGACCGAGGCCGCCCACAGCGACTCCTGCACCTTCTACCAACCAGGAAGTCGCCGGGAGGGGGGGAAGGGGCGCACGGGGACGCGCCCGGCAGCTTCACCTGGGCCGCGCGGCCCCAGGGCGGGAGCCTGCAGAGGACGCCTGAGCCGGGATCCCGGCGCCCCAGGCGGCCAGTGGGGAGAGAGGGGGTGCAGGCGCCTGCTCACATACCGTTTTGCAACCGAGCCAGAATGCAAGGTGCCTCCTGTGTCCTCAGCACTGGACCAACCGCCTTCCTTTCTGGGTCCAGTCCAGCTCCGAGTGTCCAGATTATAGCCTCCCTACCAGTGAAGTACCTGAAAAGGTTCCTCGACTTGTGTAGCATTTACAACATCAAGTGCACACGGAATTGGGTTCCCTTGGTTTCAGACTGCAAATTCAGAGCTCAAGTTGATGCTCCTGGCTTTTGCCTCACTCCAGCTGTGGCCTGGTTACTTACTGCTCTGGGAAATCCAGAGCTGCCCCCTCCTGCTTCAGGAATGTTCAGACATGTGCACCTGCTAAATAACCCTGTCAAGTGGCAAAACGATAGTGCTCCACTTGTCCGCACAGGTGGGAAACAGACATTCCTAAGCCAGGAACTGCAGCACAACCAAGGACTAACTTTAGTACACGTTCATGTAGTGGCAGGCCTCAAGGACCATTAGTGTAGGGGAGCACTGAGGAGGATCCACTTAAGTATGAGGATAGGAGGGGCTAACTTACAGGGCACCAAAGAACTAGAAAGCAGGTTATAAACATTGAATCCGTATTTGCTATACTCTTACAGTTAAATTTATCCATGAAGATACTGGGGCCAGCATAAGCAGTGGGTAATGGCAATATTAGAATTCAGACCCAGGGCTATCTGATGCTATTTACTTTTACTTATTAAAACATCTTCCTCTGCCTTGCTGCCTCATATTCTACCAGAAGAGATATAGAAAAAGTCTTATGATGAACTTTCAAAATTGACCCAGGCTGTCGGGTACCACGTCTTCCGGGGAAGCCTCCCAGCAAACACAGGACATGTGGCTACACTGATGGTCATCCAAATGTGTGTTACTTCAGTCTGTTTTCATGCAGGAGGTAATCCAATGTGGTATGAATATAGAGTGTCATGAGATATAAAAGTCAGACAAGGTCTTGGAAATTAGGGAACTTAGAATCAAAAAAGCTAAGGTTAAACTCAAAGATCTGAAACTTTCTTGCCAAAGTTATTATTACTTGGTCAACAAAACAAGACATTACACAGCTATGGCCTCTTAATCAAAAATGAAGCTAAAACATAACTGAAATTTTTTTGAAGTTTCATTTTGGCATAATGTGTTGTCATAACTTGACTTGGGGTAAGACATTTAACTTCAGTTTCTCAGTTCCTACATTAATAAAATGGGAATTATAGTAATACCACATGAACAGAGTAATGTTCAAGTTTTAAAGTTCTATAAATTTGTATGATCTTTTAAAAAATTATTCTGTGAATTTCAGTTGTATAATTAAGCCAACTACACCACATAAATTTGTTTTTCCCAAATTTAGTTTTTTCTACCTAAGACATTAGCATACTCCAAGACTTGAAATAAATTCTGTAAACTAAAAACCACTTCTGCTCCAAGTGTAATGAATTTTTTGAACTTCTCCTTTCACTATAATTAATTCTTCTCCAAAGCAAAAAAAGAAAAAAAAAGGAAAGGAAAAAAACCTACCTGGGATGCCTACATCATGAGAAAGTACAATTGTTTTCTCCATCCATTTTTGGTATTTTAAGTGACAGTTATGGCCCTGCATAATATGCAGTGTTGTTTATTCTATTTACCTTGTATGTGTAGAGAAAAAAAAAACACTCCAAAGTGAATGTTTTTAAACCACCTTTTAGGTATCTGTAATGAAGAGTTCTATTTATTCTGAGATTATCAAGGTAAAAGAGAAACAGATGGACATGATTTACATACATAATTTATTAAAAACTACTGGAGAAGAATTTAATACTCACTTATCTTGGTAATATGATTATTGAAACCGGTGGTATAATCTTAGTGACACTTCATGTAGAACTTCCCCTATGACTGATAGAGAAGTGTACAAAGGGCAGACTTTCAAATTGGTATTAGACCTTCCAAAATCATATTTCAGCAGAATTTCCTTATTGACATTTGATGTTAACATTTTCAAAGACCACAGTCTGCCCAATATTAATGTTTTTAAATGTTTTCAGAGTTATTTTAAATGTTTTGTGTAGGTTTATAAAGTATATTCTGGGGTTGGAATTGTAGCTCAATGGTAGAGTGCTTGCTTAGCATATGAAAGGTCCTAAGTTCCATCCTTGGCCCCTCAAGAAAAAATAAAAAATAAAAAGAATATATATTCTGCAGCCCTTGGGTACAGTATTCTAACAATATGTATCAAGGATAGTGAGTGTGTTTTGACATTTTCTATTACTGAATTTCCATGTGCTTGACACGTTCAATTAATGGGAGGGGTGAGTTAAGATATCCTAATACATTGGTGGATTCATCTATTTCACCTTATAGTCCTGGCAAATATTTCTATTTGTTTGTTTCATATAGTTTGCAGTTATACATGCCAATTTATAATTATTATATCTACCAGGTAAATGAAACCTTTCATCATTATGTGGTGAATTTCTTTTGCCTTAAATGCTAAGCAGTTTTCTTCTGAGTAGTTTTTGTCTGGTATAAGTATATCTCTTTTCATTCTTTTACATTTGAACTTTTTAATCATTGTGTTTTGAATTTGCCTAATAAATTTTACTTTCTAACTAGTCTAATTAGATCCAGCTTTTAAATCATTTGCACCTATTATAATTTCTGATAAATATGAGCTTATTTTTGCCTTTTAATGTTGTGCTTCCTGTCAGTGTCTCCTGATTTGTTTTCCTCCTTCATCTTCTTTAGGATTGATTGTGGTTTTTTATGCTTTTGTTTCAACACTCACACATCAACCTTCAAGTTTGAAAGCTTTGTACTTTCTATGCATTTAGCTGACAGTTTATAACATCTAACAGGCAGATTCTAACTGATTAAATTCAGAGTTCACTGATAGACCCAATTTCTCCAAAACAACACAAGAATCTTTAAAAGCCCATCCAAAACTACAGTATGTAATTAAGTATTTATAACATATTTAATTTTGAGACAGGACCTTGAACTTGCAATCTTCCTGCCTCAGCCTCCCAAATAACTGGGATCACAGACATGTGCCACTAGGCCCAGTGAATGTTGTTTTATACAGTCAATGTTTGTTCAGATTAATCCAGAACTTTACCACTCATTTTGTTCTTTTTTCCTATTTTTCCCTTAGATCTCCCATCTAGGATCACTTTACATTTGCCTAAATTATATGATGTAAGTGCTGGTATATCCCCTCATTTTTTGTTTGGGAATGTATTTTACCCTTATTCTTTAAAAAAAAATCACACTATCTTCTAGCTTCCTTAGTTACAATTTGAATTTTGAAAAATAATCTTGAAATGTAATCCATCTTTTCTCTCTAGCTACATTTAGAATTTTCTCCTTGTCTTTAGTTTACAATAGTTTTACTCAATAAGAGTAAATCTAGGTACAGATTTTTTTAAATCCATCTTTCTTGGTATCCTTGGATTTTTTGACTCTAGAGTTGGTGACTTCATCAGTTCTCAAACATTCTGAACCCCACTTTTTCTCTCCTTTCTTTCTAGGCTGCTGATAGCACATGTATTCTCATTCTACACTCCATATCGCTGAACATCTCTTTCATAGTATCTTTCTCTTTATCTCTCTGGGCTGCATTCTGGATAATTTCACAAATGTCTTCCTATTCATTGATTCTTCAGTTTTGTCTCATATTCTGCTAACATCATCTTTTTAGTTTCTAATGTATATTACTTTTATTTCTAAAGTTATGTTTGGTTATTTTTAAAATTTTTCTTTCTCTGAACACATATCTTAAAGCCTCTTCTAAATTTCTTAAATTACATTTCATATATACACTTTAAATTCTGTTTCCGAATACTCTAATATCTGAAGCATTATGGATCTGATTCTTCTGATTTTTGTTCATGCTGGTTCTTACTTATGGTCCATTATTTTCTTATGTATATGGTGATTTTTTTAGTTATCTTATCCTTAGAGCTTTATGCATGGAAATTTAGTGAGTTTTGAAATGATAAGTTCTCTGGAGAAAACTGCTGATAGATGCCTGGAGGCACCAGCAGTTCAGGACCATTTCATACTAAATTCTCAGCTTGAAAATTTTTAGACCACCCATATGAGATCTGGCTTGTAGCTATGAATCCTCCAGGAAGCTTTTTTCTCCTTAACTCTGTTTTGGTGTTTGAAATAATTGATTTTCCTTAAATCCCTCTGGGGTGTCTGCTTTATGAGGAGTATCCTATTGGATTCCCATATTAGGAAAGGCCTCAAGCCTCATGCGGCTATGACAACAGATGCTCAAATTCATCCAGTTCTGAGTTTCACTCCCCCACCCCCAACTCTTTCTTTACCTGACTGCCTGCTCTTGAATACATCTAAAATATTTTTTAGGGCTGGTAGTGTAGCTCACTGGTAGAGCATGTGCTTAACATGTATAAAGCCCTGTGTTCAATTCATAGCAGAAAGAAAGAAAGAAGGAAGGAAGGAAGGAAGGAAGGAAGGAAGGAAGGAAGGAAGGAAGGAAGGGTAGGTAAATAAAAA